GAGTGAGCGCGCTCCAGCTGTAGATGGAGGTAACAAATTCTGCAGTTGTATAATAAAGTGTGTGGGTGGCTGCATTTGCGACGAACACTTTGAACAGAAGCCCACAGAATGCCCGTCTCTACGTTTTATGGAATATACGTAGGGAGAGTTGAGACTTTTTTAAATGAATGCTTTTGATATCCATGGCAACCAGAGAGAATTCATCTACAAGGAGGATCATTTTTTAACTAGGGTATCAAATGACCTGAAAATCAGACACCCCTGGGTAACCCAGGCTGTTTTTTCCCCCAAATATTTCCAAACTCTGCTCTACTCAGTCCGACTCCATTCTTTTTGCTAAATACTTTCTCCAGATCCAGACGATGTCACTGAAGTACATGTCAGGAACCTTTTGATTTCTTCTCTTAATTTGGGTTAAACCTAGCCTACCTTAAATAAAAACAATGTTTTATTTTAGATGACCTCAATGGGTATTTATGTGGACACTTTGCATATCTCATTTAAAAGAAAGAGCTCAGTGCAAGCAACCTTTCACAAAGCCAGTCAGAGAAGGAGGCAGACAAAGGGAGGAACACCTCAACCCTCCGATTAGATTTAAATCCCAATTAATTCAAAGCTAAGGACAAGTGTATTAACGACAAGCATGAATCCACTGTGAGTCTTTGTATATCTCTTTCAGCAACATACACACTGAGGTAAAGAACAAGACACCTACATTAGAGATATTCCTAAGTAAAAGCCTACATAAAACAGGCTCAGGGTATCTTCTAAAGGACACTGGGACAGTACTATTTTCAGAAGTAACATCAGCATAATTTCATTGACCAACATACCAAGGAAAACAGGAACTACACAATTCATCTTTTAAACAGCTAAAAAGAGAATGCCTTTTGTTCACATTCAATAAGGCAGTCTCTCCAGAAAGAGAAAACCAGGTTACATCTGCTTCAGATGGACTGCATTAGTTGCCATCTTGAGAAAGTGCTTTGCTAGTTAGACTTGTAAATGTTTGCCCCAGGAGAACATGACATTTCTCACCATCTGAGGAAGGCGGGGTTGTTCCGAGCGGAGTGACAGGTGTTGTTGGAACTGGGCTGGTCGGTGCTGTCATCAGCCCCATCTCGGGATGGCTCTAGCACAAAACACAAATACCCATACACAGGTCAATAGCTTTTCTCTGTGCTAGACATACGGATCACTATTCGTGCTGCTTCAGACTCTCACACAATAGATGTGACTAAAGAAATCAAGAAACTTCAACCTCTCTTCCAAAAAGCAAGGCTGTGCTTCTTGACCCTGGACACCAGCAGTTAAACCATACATCAACATCTTTAGCTGCCAAAGCATACCTAACTGGTGGCAGCCCCCAATACAAAGCTATCATGCCTTTCTCCGGTCCTGAGTAGAAGACATGCAGACACCTACACCACTTATTGCTTTTGGTTCCTCTGAAACAGCCAAAGTGTGTGCAATTAAAGGCTTCTTTGACGATGTTTTTATTTCTCTTTTTAAAAGCAGAAGTTCCTTCCTCTCCCCAGCCTCCATCTGCTCATATTTAAAGATGATGGCAATTTATTACTTCCCTGCCTCGTTGTAAAGCCCAGGTACCACAGGAAAAAAGTGCATAGCATAAATAACGCTATCATTATTGATCCTGTCTGCTTCCATCAGTTGGTTGGCTCTCCCCATTTCATCTTTGCTAATAGTTGCTGCCTAATTACTGCTTTGACTTTACTCTTTGGAAGCTTCCGGATCTATCCGGACTGGTGAGACTACAGGCAATCTGCCATGCTATTTTAAGTTTGGCTGCCAAGCAGAATGTCCATTTCATAGAGCAAGTTTTACACAAATGTATCATCCTCGAAGTATATTATCACAACTTCAGAATAAAAGGGATGGAGAACCCGATTTTATGTTTGCTCCACTGGATTTTCTAGAACACAGGCAGATACCTCCACATTATCATTAAATCTTTGCTCATTCTAAGAACAACTATATTCTGGCCTGCATCAGGAGGAGCGCTGCCAGCAAGTCGAGGGAGGGGATCCTGCCCCTTCGACTCAGCTCTGGGGAGGCCGCACCTGGAGTATAGGGTGCAGTTCTGGGCTGCCCACGACAAGAGGGACATTGAGTTTCTAGAGGGGGTCCAACAGAGAGCAGTGAAGATGATTAAGGGACTGGAGCATTTATCATACGAAGAAAGACTAAGCGAGCTGGGCCAGTTTAGCCTGGAGAAGACTGAGAGGGGATCTGATCAATATGTATAAGCACCTGAGGGGAGAATGTAGGGAGGATGGGGTCAAATTCTTCTCAGTGGCAGCCAGTGATAGGACAAGGGGTAATGGGTACAAGTTGAAACACAAGAAGTTCCAGCTCTTATGTGAGGAAGAACTTATTTACTGTGAGGGTGACAAAGCCCTGGATCAGGCTGCCAGGGAGGCTGTGGAGTCTCCTTCTCTGGAGATCTTCAAAACCTGCCTGGATACCACCCTGTGCCACAGGCTCTGGGTGTTCCTGCTGGAGCAGAGGGTTGGACGAGATGATCTCTACAGGTCCCTTCGAACCTCAACCTTTCTGTGATTCTGTGACATAAATGCCTATATTTTTTAGGAAGCAAAGAAACACATACTATAATTTGAAGACAACTTTAAATCAGTCCAGGTAATAAAACTTTGAAACAGTTTTCCACTGAAAATCTTGAATACAAAGAGGTTCACCCCCTAGATTTTACTAAGGTGTTTACCTCCTTCTTCCTCAAACATCAGCTGTCAGCTGAGAGAGAAGACTGCCACCTAGCAGCAAAAATCACAGACAAACAAGCTGGTAAATACAGAAACCTTAACACTTTGGACATCAGTGCAACTGTATTTCTGCTCTTCCAATCTGCCCACAGACCAGCAAATAGACAGTCGCACAGTTGCTCATCCACCAACGGACACGGTCTTAGCCATGAGCACTTCTCAGCTTTTAGGAAGTTTTCTTGAAGGACGGCACAACCCACCTTGTCCCCTCAAGTGCTGTTCTGGGGTAGATTATGTGCAATCCCTCATGAGAGCTGCACTCCAGTTAAGTCCACTGAACAGTGGCCACTCCAGCTACCACTTTCACAAATAACTGTTTCATCCTTTTATTATTTTAAGGAGACTTAGGCCAGCTGCTTATTTCTTATCCCCCTTCCTCCCTCAAGGAGATCTTAACCATATAACTTGGTATCAGATAGAACTTACAGAGCAGAAATCTCAAAAGTGGTAGGATGAAAAACCTGGGCAAAAGGGAGGCAGACAACTTGAGCAAATTATCAACCCACAGAACAGAAACTTTCTTCAGCCCAGCCTTCCTCCATCACTGGTAGTTCTGTCTGCCCAAAGGCCTCTACCCCCTCAGTCATGCCAAGTGTCTAATCAATTATGTATGGCTCCACTCTGAGCAGCTGAAGTCACTGGAGAAAGGTGATAAATGCTTTTATATCATCTATCTCACAGGCTACCAGCAGTGCTTGTAAACCAAAATTAACAGCCTACACCTGAATGTTTTCTAAGCCCATTTAGCTACCCCTTCAAGCAGTCTATAACCACCAGATCAGACACTCATTATCGCCTGTCTTCCAGCAATCATCAACTTTGAAAACTCATGCGGTGTCCAGAGAAGCATTCAGAGCTTCGTGACCAGACACTTTCTCAGAACACAGTTGCTGCTCTTTCCTCTCTGGACACAACACAAGCAGGAGTACTCTGTTGGTCTCCCAAGTGAGAGGGGTTAGACTCTCCAGGGAAGTTTGGATACTAAACAATATTTGCAACAACCACCACCATATGCCAATTAGTCCCTAAGCCAACGCCTCCCAAACAATCAAGAATATGCAATTTCTGTGCTTCCAGACAGGACAAAACATCCAGCTTGGAACATGATCAGTTTTTCCCTAAACCCTAACTTAGCATAGCACGAACTGCTGCAATACCTGCAGCAACCTTACCCTTCTCCATTGCAGCCTACTCCATCCTACCTAAAGGCAATATTAGGACACAGGAGGAACTCATGCAGCTCTTCCCATACAGTGGGAAAAATATCTCTGACATGAGCTATGCACACAAAAAATATTTCTTCTGGCAAAGCAGAAAGCAATTCCTAATGCATAATAAAATCCAGACACTGGCTGCTTTTGATCTTTCATGCCCATCTACAGCCATAACAAGTACCCAGGAAAAAAAAATGGAAATGAATCAATACCTTTTCACCAGTTCTGTTTATGATTTTTGAACTTGAAGATATCCACTATGAAGAAAAGGGCAAAATCTGCTCTGAAACTCACCTGTGCCAAGACTGTGATGAAGTTTCTGTTTAAGTGAACAGCTTCATAGAGGGCCAGAAGAATTGCTTCATTTGTCCTGTAAAAGGGATACAAAAGCATACTTAGTTATGGGATACTGACATATGAGAATCTGAAAAGTTTTGCTCTCAGAGAAGCATGACCTATCCAAGCAGATAGATTTTTGAATACCTCTGCAAACCACTTTTTTTTTTCCATTAGCAGTACTTTGCAACCCAAAAAAAAAAGTTTCTACAGTTTAACTATAGTCTTTTTTCCCCCCTCATATATGAACAATCCATATATGTCCGTACTTTCTGGAAGTAAAGGTTCACACTGACAGCCCAGTCACATTTATCATTTTCCCTCTTAATTTACAAGGCACATTCTTGGGGACAAGAGTACATGAACCATTGCTTCCTACCAGCCACCTCCAGTCTCTCCATCATATGTTAAAAATGCCTAATACAAACCACAATTTTATACACTTTGCTGCAAGCAATTCAGCTGTTGTTGATTCTGTTTCACCCTTCTCATTTAACTAACAAAAACTCTGTTTGCAGAGGTGTGGTACTCTTTTAGGTACAAGGCCAGAACTGGTTCACTAAGCTTATTTTGCTATATTAAGACATCTCTGTGATGGAGCAGATCATTTTTACTGGCGTGGTAAGTCGCCTTTCACTGTGCAGCTAACACGGGTGCACTTACTGGACTGATATCTTCTCATCAGCATCTGCTATGAACATGCTGCCCACCTACGGAAAGAAAGAGCATTGCACAGGAAGAATCCGTGAAGCCTTTTAGGCCAAGGAAAACGTGTAGACATAACTAAGCCCAAAGTGTTCTGTGAGAGATATTCTCATCCAAGGCACATTTGGAAATTTCTTTCTAAGACCAATAAAATATCATGGGAAAATTCTACAGACCGAGTGGGATGACCATCTATAAACACATTTCTTTCACACTGTTATAGATCAATGCATCACGTGTCAAATGATAGAAAGCAGGACTAAAACCAGATTTCCAGTCTGAATTAGTCTACGATTTTATGAAGACCAGTAGAGATGACTTTCCCATCTGTTTGTCCCCAGGCAATAGCAGTTTTATCCACGCTGCTGCTGACTGATAGCTGTCAACGCTGAACTGCACTTACTTACACAAAGTTTTCCTAATGTGAATTAAACCTCAGACTACAATTTAAATCAAATACAAAATCAGTCTGAACAACTAGGACACTGGATCATCTTTACAGTGAGATTAGACAAATTTTCAATTCTCCTATGGGATTCACTAGGGACTCTCTCTGAAAATAAATAAATAAATAAAAAGATAGTTCCTGTTGAAGTGCCAGTGTATCCAAGCTTGAGGAACAAGGAACAGATCTCTAAAGCTAGACACAGACTTGGCTTTGAATATTTCTGGGACACCTTGTGCTGTAACAGCTTCTCTGTTTTAGCCTATATCAGCAGACCAGCAATAGGTTTTTAAAAAGAAATAACTGTTTAAAGCATACAACAAATATTTAAAAATTATGGCTACTTCAATGAAGAAGATAGAGTAAACCAGAATTTGATTAGCAATCCCAGAGTAGAGATTTTATCCTTTTGGAAGTGCTTTCCCAGACAGCAATATGCTGCTCACAGCACAGTTACTTCATTTGTTTTTGGTGTGGGTCCATGCATGTCCATCCCTAGGGACATCCCTAACCCAAAAGAGCTTTTGGAATTTCTCACCCGCTGATGAACTTCTTTGAGGTCCCTACCTGAATAATAGAAAAATATTGCTTTCTTACCATATTGGTTAGGGCTGAGAAGAAGCCACTCTGGTGCTCCTCTTCTTTATCTTTGTACTGCCTAAAAAAAGTGGAAAAACACAAACGAACAAAATGATGAGGCTCCAGGTTAGAAATAGAACTAGGATTATTTTATCTAAATACCCATAGGATTGCCTTTCCTGATTAGGATACAGGCTGGAAAGAACTCTAACATTCATATGCCCCTTTCCACGGCATTACAAATGGATACAAAGGGTGTTAAATAAATGTAAATTGTGTAGAGATGAAGTGGGGATGCTGGAAGATGAAACACTGAACAATGTCTCAGCTCAAGTTAAAAGAGAGGTTTAAATGACTTAGGAACTTTTTGCCCAGCAGTGACAAAATACATATAGCCCATATCAGTAACAAAAAGTAACAGAGCAGCTTTACTTCAATCAGCAGCAGCTACAAACTAAACCACTGCTGCCCATTCTATGGATAGCAGGCCACTAAAGCTCACAAACACAATCAAACTGCGTCACAGCCAGGTTCCTGCTTGATTCTGTGCTCCCCTTCCCAGGGAAAGGCAGGCTGGAAGATGGCTCTGAACTGAGGTGCTCTCAGTTCAGGCTCTGCCGGCCTCCCAGGACAGATCTAGGATGCACAAGGGTGTTTCTGCGTGGGCTTGGCAACAGGACAACATGAGCAAGCACCACACCTATTATGGTCCAGAAACATGACAGTAGTGCCTATGCCATAAAGCCCTTGCCTGGGAACAGAGTAAATAAGTCAAAAATGTCAGGTACCCCAGATTTAAGCTAATTTACTTTATTGGCATTGAAATGGGCTAATAAACTTCACAATCATTCATTCCATCTTTGGTATCTGTGAAGAGCTTCTGCCAGATTACAAAACTCAATCTGAACTTTCCATGAAGAAAAAAGCTGCTTGTTGCCCAACATACAAGAAAAGAAATGCTTAGTCAATCGACTGTCTGTCAGTAATTCAGAATAGCCAAAAGTGTATGAGGAATCTCTCAGAAAACCAATGGGCCTTCCCCACAGATTTAACCTGATTAGATCTAATGCAAAACACAAAACAATGATTCAAAAATCTGGGGGAAGATTAAATAAATAAATAAATTGGGGAAAACAGGCCATAATCTGAGACAGCTTTTATCAGAAATGAAGGAAGTTGGGTGGGTGGAGGTTTTCTTGCTTGACACTAAAATGTTAAATATGTGATTTGCAGGTTTGCATCATCTTGCAAGCACTATTATAGTCACAGACATTCAAAAATAATTAAAGCATTTTTCCAGATACTTTGGAAATCCTCCCCTTGAAAAGCTGTTGGTTAGCTAAGCAAAACTGCTTAATAAGTATCTGCACAAAAGCAGCAAGTTTTCTTTAGAAGAACTTCAGAAAGTGTTAGAAACACAAACAAGGGCTGGAAACATGTTATTTCTACTGCTGGCTTTTTTTTTTCAGGAGCAGGTGCTGCTGTTTACCATTTGGAGGAGCATCCATTCCCCCAATCACCTCCGACCTGCTTCAACCTGGCATCTGGATAGTCCTGGATACATTGTTTGTTTTAGATTAGGCTCAGGTAAAGCAATTTTCCATCAGAAAAGTACTCAGCAAATCATTTATCATCTTTTCACGTGGGACCATGTGATTTTATGCAAGGTTCACACAGAGGTAGAATCAATGATGTCAAAAACATACAGTAGAAATCTACAGTAACATCTTTTCTGAATTACATTAGCACAGCTGGCACAGATGCATTCACACTGACAATAACAGCAACAACAGAGCTGAAGTACCTCAAGGCATAAGCCTATTCCCTTCCTCTCCAGGCACATCAGGGCTGTTAAGTGATAAGCAAGTGTTTTAAAGTGCTTTAACAAACAAAACAAAAGTTTATTGAAAGGGACAGAAACCACCACACAGCTAAAAATTGAATGATGGTTAGGTCTTACCTGTTGTACTCTGATAAAGCCTGGGCAATAACAAGTCCCATTCCCTGAAAGTTAAAAAAAAAATCTTTATGTTACAAGTATCAGTACAGGAAAACAAATATTGAACACAGTAGTGCTTTACAAGCCAAGATATTCTGCCACGCTACAGAGCATTTCCACTGCAGCAATTTGAACTTAAGGCACACTATGATACAACAAAAGCAACATTGTTCAAAATCAAAGCACCAAAAATTAAAGCTGGATACTTAACTGCAGAAAGTTATAGAGGAGAAAGTTTACTCTCCTGGAGCCTCCACAACAAAGCTTACTCAGTCAAGAAGGCTCAGTAAAGTGGCAAGACCCTTGGAAGAAAAGCTGGTGGAAAGATATCTAAAGGTTGACAACAAAGACCATAAACATGACAGATCTCTTCAGTTCTTGCAAATGGCCTTGCCAACCCACAGCTGATGGTCATCCTTCTCCCTCAAGCTAATTTAATTCAGAGTGATTGTTCTCACCCTTTAATTGGCATGGATTTTATTGCTTTTATGCCATACACAAAGAAGAACTTGCAAGTCAGGATCTCTCATAGCTTCAGGCGTGCTGCCCCCTCCTATCCAGGCTGGAAAATAAAACCTGGGGAGTGGCTACAACCCAAGATTGTAGAACTCTTGGTTTTGGTACACGCTTCTACCAACCTACAAGAATTGCCTTATGAACTGTTAAAATAGATGAAAACACTGGATAAGAGATTGCTTTTGCCTAAGGAAGTAACTTGTATGTCTTCAGAAAGCAACAGTGAGCAATGTATGGATAGTTCACTAATGTATAATATACCAACATTAGCACATTTCTTGTTACCCAGCTTTTCCACCATTCCCACCACTTAACTGGTGATCAGACTATCCAAATCATGAGGTACTTTACTCATCTCAAGAGTTCTGTTAGGGAAGAAACCCAGTATTCTAGTGTCTCTGTTATAGCACCATTTCCAAATCTTCACATCAGATGCCATGGCAGCCAACACTCATGGAAGAACATTCCCAGGAAGCAGAGAGGAATAAGTCAAATACTCACATTAAGTGTGGGCTCATCATCAACAATGGAAAGCTTCACAATGTAGGGATTCACTGACTGCTCAGAGAAAAAAAAAGGCGGGGGGGGGGGGAAAGGAAAAAAAAAAGGGAAAGAAAAAAAAAAAGGAAAAAAGAAAAACAAAAGAAAAAAGTGAGTTTAAGTCCAGCCTTTAAGAAATAAAAGGAAATGTCCCAAAACTTATCTTTTAAGCTTACCAAGCCAACCTAGGAGGAATTTTCCTCTTGCTGCACAACACAGAATGCTCACAATTCTGTAAGAGTGAGCAAGGAAGCAAAAAGGCTACTAACTTGCTCAACTAGGCAGGCTCCTGATTTTAATTGAGAGGACAGGGAGCTGCCTTCTGCTTTGCCAGCTAGACTGGCATCTTGAAAGTGAAGCTACCATCCTGCAAGCACCTTATCTGTGACACACACTCCAATGCAGAAAGCACAAGTGGTGCTGCTGGGACTGAGCATTCCTGTTCTATCTTTTGTGCAACACCTTGCAAAGGTCCAAAGAAGGACCCAGGAAAACATGAGTGTTACAGATTCATCTGCTGCAGTGTTAGTGCTCAACACTAAATAGTTTGTGCCATTGAGAGCTACAAGTCTTTGGAGAATATAAATGCCTTGAACTCTTAGCCTAACAAAACACAAAGCTCATCTATAAAGATAAGCCCTAACAATTTAGAAAGTATTTTGAATTTGCAATAAATATTTGTTTTCAATGTTCATGTGTGTCAGTGCAAAACTAACAAAGTGGATTTGGAACCAGGACAGCGAAGAAAAGGCTCTTTTCGCACTGTAGATGGGAAGAACAGAGCACTCAAGGAATGCCTCAGATGCAGCCTCACTTTACAAGTTACCCAGCTATCTGTCTTGCTCAAGGCCTGAGAGCAGGTTAAAAATAAGACTGATCAGAAAACAACACCTTCCCAGTTACTCGGTGCTTCTGGAGAATCAAATTTTGCATTTGATTCAGGGATTGATCTGAACACAGGAAAGCCTTGCCAACGTGCCAGCCTGCCTGCTGCACCATGGCAGTGCTACCTGCCCGCTCAGAAACAGGCAAGAGACTCTCACAGAGCCCATCTGTGCATGAAGAGTAGAAAGACTTTGACCTGAGGCTCAAGAAGAGATTCCCATTAAATAACAATATATGCTCCTTTCTTCACAGCCATATAATCAAAGACGTCTAGTTGATATCAGGAAGACATCCTGCAGGCCACTCCATACTACACCTCATGTACAGAAGAGTGGCCCACCTGCCATTGGCTCAGGCCCATCAAAGAAGAGAAGGTTCAGCATGAATTACTCCTGGTGCTCCTGCCGCCCTGCACTCTCCCGGATGGGTGCTACATGTCTCCTGGCAGCAAGATGTCCATGCATGGTGAACAGAGCCAGGAAGCCAGCCAGCCTTGCTGCAGACATCTGCCTCTCTTCTTTCAAATGCCTTGTCCAAATCTGCTCAAACCTGTTCATTAATTCCTATTTTAAGCTTTTTCATGTCTCCTCTGTGCTTCTCTACCCCTTAGAGAGCAGACAGATGAACCACAGCAATGCAGTCACCACCCAGTGTTGCTCTATACAGGACAGGGAAGCTTCTAGTGCCTTTCAGCACATTGCAAGCCTGTACCAACGCTGGCAAGTTCAGCTTGCTCTCAGTCTGCACATATAATATGGGAGCTTCAGTCTGCAAATATACAATGAACTTCAACACCTTCAAGTTGTAAAAGCACCTCTGCTAAGCTCACACAATATTCCTCAACTGCTTCCCTATTCTAAACCTGTTACTTCAGAGTTTCCTTAATTTCCTCATAGTGGGAATCACAGCGAAAGGGTTTGGAAGTCTAAATAAATTATACCTGCCACTCCATGGTGCTCATCAATACAAAACCACCCCAAAAGCTGCTGCTCAGCAATTTGATAACTCAGGGGGTTCAATCAAGCGGTAACAGATATTTAAAAATAGCTTCCGCCTCCACCTGCCTCCATATAATAATAATAATAATAATAAATGATTTTCAGCTCTTCAAATAACAAAGGTCTTCTCTAATCACAACCAGAAAAAAAACATAGGCCTCCTCTTCAGAGATGAGGAACAAGCGGGTTCTTGGAACCGGGGAATACTCAAAACACACTCCACGTATTACCCACCATTAGCCACCACTAGTGCACAGAAATGAGGGTGAACCTGGGAGATCATTGTCAGAAAAATTCTAAAAGACAGCCCAATTAAAACCACATCAGAAAAGCAAGTTCATGGAGTAAGCATGCTATGCAAATCCACACAAATCTAGGAGAGAGAATGAGATCAGGGAATATGCCTCAAGTTTCAGCTCAAACTTACGGGAAGCAGGTTCTTGCTAGAAAAAAACAAAAATCAAAAGAGAACAAAACCCCACAAGCTAAGCATATATAATACCTATTTAGATGCTTAAATTATCTTTACATCTGCAATACAAGTTGGGGGCCAGAGTCTGCCTGACTAGCCCTCACTGGGGACTTCAGCAGTTTCACTGACATTCCTGATAAGACCATCTACTCTGCAGGCAGGCCACCTTGCAGGGAATTAGGGCTTGAATAATAGCCTGTTTTTGTTGTTTGTTTTGTTAAAGGGATGGCTTTAAAATAATTTAATCTTGCAGAACTTTATATAAAGATGAATAAAAAGATGAATTTTCTGACCCCCACAATGACTAACAGCTACTCCAGCACCTGCTGTTGACAAGATAGAGGAGAGGGAGTGCAGAGGTAGGCATGAAGGTCTGCCAGCTACACTATCTGCAACCAGACACCAGTACAGAAAAGCTAGGCGGGGGGAGAAAAAAAAAAAAAAACCCACACACACATTTTCACTTTTTTCTTTCAGTCCTGCTTAGCAAACAATGACATATGATTCTAGCAGGTTGAACATGAAGATTTTTTTTCCCCACTGCAATGTTATCAAGGAGCATGTCTACTTAAAAGTCACTGCTCTGATTTTATATTTTAACTTGCCGTTCTAAAAGACATCTTAGAATAGCGAGAAAATGAGGAAACAAATGCTTTGCCCATAATATTTTGTCTGTCTGGCAGCCTTCTGTGTACAGTCAGCTTCATCATTTTCCTGATGTATTCAATCATTTAGTTGCTCTTTTGAGCTTCCTTTTCGTAGTACCAAGGTAGAAATATTTTATAATCTTGTTCCACATCTCAGAGAAAACTATGATAGACAGCTGAATACTTAAGTATATACCAAGAACAATTTTTTAAAATTATTATGTTTCAGATCAATGACATCCTTTTAAAGGTTCCATCTAAAGATGTGCATATATCACTTTTACTCCTCTAACAGAAGTTAATGAGCAAACTGAAGTTTCAGGTCACTACACCGGTAATAAAATCATGGACAGCTATTCCTCAGGGAATTTGAAAGGAGACTAGAAAATTCACATCCCCAAAATATGAAAGAACACGTTCATGCAAAACACATCAGTACTCTCATTAAAGACAGAAAAAAATTAGAGTCAGCTAATGAATTTTCAGCCTAATTAGATTTTTTTTAAGTAATTGGAACCATGATTTAGCAACCAAATGGAAAAGAAGGAGAGGAAAAAATAAAAAAATAAATCACACTATGCAAGCCAAAATTTTCTTTGCCAGACATCTGCGCCATGTTGGCTTAAAAAAAAAAAAAAAAAACAACACCCTAAGAAAAACACCAGCACAAAGAGTTAATTTTCTTTGGGTGCCCAATTTGAAGGAGTGTGCTTTCCAGAGCACCTGACACTAACTAAATGCTCTATTGCATTTAGTTAAAAAGCTACTGCAAAAAGCACAGGACAAGTCTTATGTACTCAAAGACCTCTAACTTACTAATGAGATAAAATGCAGTACACAGGGATCCACAGCTCTGGGACAAGACTAGACAGCTCTCTCTTCTGAGCTGAATGCTTCAGTTAATGAGCTATCATCAATGCGGATAAGGAAACGAGTTATTTCAGCCATTTAATCTCGTCTCTGCCTTGGCCTATTCCATAGGTCTAGTCATAATCCAAATAAGCTCAGTTTTAAAAGTAGGTAGGGTGTTTGTTTGTTTTGTTTTCTCCAGTAGTTCTTTGGAAAAGATGCATTCCAGAACTTTCTTTTTCTATCTACTAATTTAAATTCATTGAAATTCTGCAACTGCAGAAAAAAAATGAAGATGGATCATTAAAACACCATGTCCTACACAAAGAAAAGTCAAAACTATTGTCCTTTTTGACATTCATGTTTCTTTTTCAAGGCAATGAAAAGTAGGAAAAAAATGGAAACGCACCACAAAGTAGCCCAATTCAGAAAAATAAAGATGAACAAAGTTCCTGAAGAGGAATCAAGTAGAGATAGACCTTTCCTGATATACTGGCTATTATGTTTCAGTTCTGTTTTTGGTCACATCTTCAACATCTCTTTGGGGATCCACATTCTTTCAGTTTGACTGCAAGGTTATCACTCACAACTCTGTTTATTTTGAAGACTGTAACTGCACACTCACACACAGAGGGAAACAGGCAAGTTCTGCGCAACAGCACCTCTTCCAAGATGACCTTCCCCAAAATGTTTCCACTAAGGAAATACAAATCTCCTAGCTATTTTCTCTCATATCTGCAAAAACTAACTATAAGAACATCATATATATTTGTATATATACACATATCAAAGGCAGAGGCAAGAATAGCTGCCTCAGTCAAGGTTGAATTTCTTCTAGCAGTCTGCACAACACCCATGTAAAGCTTTGCAGCTATATGTTGGTATTCTGATATCTGTTTTAGCTTGTATTGTTAAAATAAAAATATATTGGAGGTCTTAATTCATACTGCTATGTAGGTTTCTAACAAAATAGAAGGGATTTTTCCTGTTACCTGAATACTTACCTCATACTTTCTGTAGTTGACCAACAAGGCAAGAAGGACAACAGCATCATAGCCATGTTCCCTGCGACTAAGTGGGCTGGACAGAATCTGAAATAAAGAATCACATTGTTCTGCTCAGGCTGGCTTCAGGAAGCTGGCAGTGGCTCTCACACCATGTGTGGCTGTGCAATGTATACGTAAGAGCAAACAACGTGATAAATGAAAAGCAATATTCAAGATTTTGGGAATGTCAATGCATGCAAGAAAATCTCAGTTTCCACAAAGAGAAACTTACTTTAGCAGAGAGAATGTATAAAGGCTGTCTGGGTATAAAGGGCAAATATACTTCTCAATAGTACTGGACATATCTCAGTGCCCTGTCAACATAGTGCAGTTTTTGTGGGTTTTCCCAAGCACTTCTGGAAAGTGTAAGTTTATCAGAGAGTAGCAAATAGCTTCACTATAACCTGACTTTAGAAATAAGCTCCTCTGATAAAGAATTTCTCTGCAAAATTAGCCCATGGGCCTATTAGGCTTTTATCTGAGTAAAAATTTCTCAAGTGAAAACAGTTTAAAGACTTAGTGACTGAAAACAGCAGACGAGGGAGGCTGGTAGTACAGGTGAGGAAGGAGAGGAAACCCACAGCCTTACGAGTGAGCCATGGATGGAAGGCACATGCCACAGCAACTAGATAAGTTGTACTGAAAGAGGTAAAAACCAGACACATCATTGAAAGTTCACACTATAGAGAAAGACCCCCTCTCCTAGAAGGAGAGCTCTTACCTGTAAAATAGCTTCAAAGATACTGTTAATCATCACATACTCCAGGATGGTGTTCTGGCTAATGTTATCTGTCACCTGAATGCAAACACATATTTTAAAGTCTGATCTGACCCCCACCATGATGCTGTAGCTACCTCTGGCATACACTAGAAACTGAAGAGTTATACTACCAGATAGACACATTTATCCAGAATCTCACACTTAGTCAGCAAGTCAAGGGTGTGAACAGCACTAGAGCTAGACATGAAGTAAAGGAAATCTGTCCTGCCTCCCACATCTTCGCCAGCAAAAAGCACGATCCGCGTACAAAGAGCTTCCATTTCCTCTGTGGATGGGTATTTCACACAGCTACACAACAGCAGTGTCAGTCACTCGAGCAGACTGCTATACTACAGGCAGGAATGAAAAAGCAGGGCCCAGATGCTCCATCGAGCCCTCTCTCATTCCAAGCAGGGCAGTGAAAACCTCCCTTATGGTCTACTATCTCTTATTCCAAGAGATGCTGAGTAGCCATTTGCTGCAATTTCTTCAGTCTTCACATCCTCACAAACACTGGCTACTCCAAACTTATTCTGCCTTTCTTCAATCTCTGTCTTCTGCTTCCCTCTTTACATATACACACATATCTGAGACTTCTTCGGTATCTCTTTCCCGTAAGAAAACGGGTGAAGATAATTCATGCTTCCTCCTGCATCTGTCTCCCTTTGCTCCTGCTGGTACCTATCTCATAATAAAGTCTTTGTGGCAGAAAAAGTCTGTCAGTCTTTATCACTACCATGGTTAAAGCAATGAGGCCATACTCTATGCTGATGCTTTTTTTCATCCATAGTTTTGCCCTCTTAACCTTCACACTACAGCGTTAAACTTCAGCTTCATACTACTGCTTAAATTTTGAGGTAGTTAGATGCCTCGCAATGTGGCCCATTTAAACATTTAAGTTATTATACATCTAGTTTACTTACCGTCACCAAGCAGAGAAGTAGCTTTAGACACAAACTTTTGAGGCTTTCAGAACCTTCTGCACAGAGCAGCGAGTCCAAGCTCTCCATCAGATTCTACAGAAGAACAATTATATCATTTTAAAGTAATATTTATACTTATACTGATATTGCTGTATTTGAATCCTTCAAAAAAGGCTTCTTATATCAAATATTCCTAATAAAGCCATATTTGTTCCAGAATCAGTAATTAATCCATTACAACTGCTATATACCCCACAGGATATATTCACATCATTGGTTCTCAACATTGTGTTGTGTTAACTACATTTTAACGACTTTAACGACAGACCTTCACAATTATTTCAGAGTTTTCCCCAAAGACAACAGGATTTTGTATACATATAACAAATTTTATTCACTTAGTAGTTCTGAGTTCTACAAATATGGTCTTGCTTGGCATTTGCAAGACAGCATTTTCTGTGCTTTCTTTTTTTTCCCCCCAAGATTTCCCCATTTTTCCTATATACATCAAGACATTTTGTTCTCGTGCAGTTAACCTCCAGTTTAATAGTATAAATATTTGTTATTATTCAGAATAAATACTGTATAGACATTTAATATTCACAAATAATTGCTTTCCAAATTACTAGCTAAATGACAGATAACACATTAATTCTTAAAGGAAGAATATACTTCTAATAGCTAGGTAAATACTTTGGGCTTCTTTATTTTTGTTTGCAAAGAAAACAGGAATTCAGCTTTATCCCCGGTTTCTTTTTTTCTTTTTTCCCCTCCCAAACTCAGCACCTGACAAGCACCAAATAAGCTTACAACAGTGTATGCACTGACGGAAATCAGAGCACAATGGCTATAGGCTAAAAATTAAATGCAAGATATGAGGCTCAATAGTGGGGACTAATGACCTGTGCCAGTCTTTCATTGCCTTAGGATTTCTTAACTGTAATGAAGCTACACCACAAAAAGAAAGGAAAAGAAAGCAAGCACTCTGTTATTTTAACAAACATGGAGATCCAAAGCATCCTACTTTGAGCCACTCATAGGTAAGAGACTTCAGGACAGTTACATTTAGTAATTGGCAAGTCCACATATAGGCACATCTCAGCAGACACAGTTGTCTGCAAATAATTGCCCCTGCAAAATAGCTGGTGTGCAGCAGTGTTTCTTTACATTTCCAACTCCTCACCTTCATACAGAGCTCTGCCTTATCAAAACCCACAAGCATGTTGATTATGTCAAACCCAGAGGTGGATTTGTTCTTCTGATGGACACCCCGAATCAATGCACACAAAGTCTGCAAAAGAGAAAAACAAGTGCAAGATAAAGCCACACATACTACTCAGTGGCAAAATCTGCTCTAAATGACCCTCAGAGGATTAGCAAAATACAGATACTTGAATGAATAGCACCTGCTTGTAAGCCATACATTTGTCTCAACTCTCCCATCTCTACTGTTTCTAAGCACCATCTTGGATGCTGATGACTCAGATTAGAGAAATATACATTATCCATACTTTTTTTCCTGTTTATTCATCCCTTCATTTCACAGCACTTTCAAGAAAGGCAATCTCATAGCTTCTTCTGTGCAGACCCAGTTTGTACTACTCTCTTCAGACAACATCAGAAAGGAACATAAGCTCTGAAAATACCTAATTTTCATTTTAAGGACAAAAATATTGATTAGGAAACTGCAAGGAAGAAGCAGTGTTCAGCAACAGCCACGTCTACATGGATGGACATATGTTAGAACTTCCCAGATTAACTCGCTGATCCTAAACATGTCAAAGACACATCCATACAACCTAAGTTCTCACACTGTGCCTGTCCACACAGCAAATACTTTTGCTAGAGACAGCATGCACTCTTTGTTTGGTTACCACCATGCTATACTGAGCCTAGCCAACAAAATGCATCTCTGCCAAGAGACAAGAAAAAATGACTTCAAGGCTATTAAGCAGCTTAATTTTCTAACCACTTAAGGGATTTTGAAGACCTTTTCGCTAAACCTAACCTCCTCTGTACTTCTTGCTGCATACTTTGGATTATGGTTCACAATTAATTCTTGGAGCTCACTGGCAACATATAGTATCAGAGCATACAATGTTTCAAACAGATATTCCAGAATATTTTGGGGGCAGATGGGACATCTCTGTCTAAGAGAAGAACTGGCAGTGGTGTTGTGTCATCGGGTATCTTTAAAGTCTATAAGGGGGGGCATGGGGAGGAATATAGCCTTTGCAGTTTAAGATTCCATCTTGAATTCATCTATGAGGAAAAAAAAAAGTAATTTTAGAAGATATAAAGCCAGAGATTGGCAGACCACAAAGAATGATCAGACCTCTGCAATATTACCGAAAAGACACAGTAGGCATCCTTTGTTTTTGGTTACTGTCAGAGAAAAAATATGAGGCTAAAGAAACATTTAATTGGTATGGCCTTTCTCAGGGGAAAAAAAGTGTTTACATACATTTCGACTTCAGGATCACCTTTCACAACGAGCACAGCGTGATAAAGAGAAACCCTTTCCAACCCACAGTCAAGATGTGACCTGGTTTCTCTTTACATTCACACAGCAGGCTTCTGGACTGAAGCCCTGGCCCAATTTTTGCAGAGAGCCTGAATTCAAGCTTGTGAATTTACAGCTGGGCTGGACTGTCTATGCAGCTGTAATTACAATGTTTAATATTGATAGCATCCTTTAAAAATAATTAAAGACAAAAGCAAGCAAGATTGCATGTCAACACAGGTGTAAATATTCCATTTCATGACAGCTTTTTGCAGCTTGTTGCTGGTCTAATGTCTCCTACGAATGATCTGAAACCCATGTGTTACATTCCTACAGCTGACAGAAGCTGCAACACATGCATTCACCAAACTGCGAGAATCCGCTTGGGATCTAGTAACATCAAGCGTCAGGACTGAAGGCGACAGTCTCCTGTACAAGACCCAGAACAGCCTACCTTTGGCAAGGAATACTCTGCAGGAAAAGGGCTTCTAATTCAAGGTGACAACTCTTCACAGCTTCTGATTAGGAAGCTATTCAGTAGGGACACTCTCCTGTGTAAGTTTTAGACTAACTTTACCAGAATTTTATTTTATTTTTGAACAAGGAAATTCAAAAAGAGGCTAAAGGTAAGAAAAAAAAAACGAGAGAGAATAGAAGGCAAAGTTATATAGACTAATCTTGAGCCTCAAGAGAGACACCTGTAATGTGAACAAGTCCATCTTGCCCCTTTGTTTCAATCTGCTTCAACTTGCACCAGGTCCTCTTAAATTTTAAGATAAGTTACTGTTGCTCAAAGACTGAAGAGACTGTATTTGTAACCTCAACACAAAATGAGTAACAACTACTCAGTACACTTCTCATCACAACTAAAGAAATAAGCACGAGATGCTTGATATCGTCAGCAAATATGTTGCCTCATGAGAGGCAGAAAAGCATATACTCTGTATCTCAGGTCTGATACCTGTAGTGCATTGACCACTCTGATTGGGTGCTCCTCAGCCAGTGCCTGGATGCAGTGCTGGAACAAGCAGTTGATGTTATCTTTTATCTTCATCAACTCTTCCCCATCCAGGGCCTCTAGCTTGCCTTCCAGATATTCCAAGTTAACCTGACAGGTGAAGAAGCAGTTCATGCATATTACACAACTGTTGACAGCTTAGCAAACCAGGCTGTTGCACTGACAGTCTGCCATCTCATAGTAGCAGAATGTCAGAGGATATTCATTTTTTATGTTACCTTCATAAGAAACAGCTCTTCCCAAAACCTGGGGTTGCATTTACTGGGATCTTCTGTCTAAAAGAGAAAGGAGTGGTCATGAGAAAATAACAGAAAAAAAAACATTCATACAAAAAGTTTTTTAAAAAAAGTTAAAAAAACACATTACCACAAGTAGCACAGAAACAGCATCTTTTCACTAGTTGACACAAGGGGTCTTATAGTATAGAGTATTATCCAAACGGATTTCTAGAAGTAGAAAGCTACTTCTATTTGTTATTCTACTGGGATGCCTCTGTGCATTTTCTGTACTGCTTTGCAAGAAACAGTTTTCCTCCCCAAGTTAAACAAGTATCAAAGAAGCTCTTATATCACCCCAGGACCCTTCCCTCCTTTTACTACATAGATCTTCTGCCTCCCACTGCATTACTAACTTCAAAGCCATGACCTCCTTTAGATCAGAAATGGTCCTGGAATACAACAGGACACAGTGAAAACACAGGAGAGAGAATTCAGAGTTCAGCATGATAGTAGGAGAGCTTGAAGTAGATGTCTACACTGTGTGATCTTTATCCTGCAAGAAGGATCTACCTTACAGAGGCTTCAGCACAAATTAAAACATGAAAAATTCACACAGCACATGTGAAATAAGAGGTGCTCGAGTTCTTACCGTGAAAATCTCATCGTACATCAACACGACCTTCTCTTTCAATGGCTTCTTGGAGGCTGAAGACTTCCGGAGCAATCCACCCTTCTTCTCTGTTTGGGCCATGCTGTATACCCTAAAGGTAAGAAAAAACAAAAAAACTTAAGAAAACTTAAATTTTTCTTCAAGGCATATCTGGAATGGTTCAACCACAAGATTTCTTCATTACACTGAGATATTAATAAGTCTCTTGAGTTGGAAGCAGGGCCTTTAGTAACTGTACCAGATAAGAAATCAGACCAAATGTCTCATCTAGTGCTATATTCTCTTTCAAAGCAAGATGCAGAAGTCAAACCACAGGCAGATAGGGAATAAACTGCTTACAGGTAAACTTTCTTCTTAATTCTACTCTGCTAGAAGCCAATTCATAACTCAGCCAGACAGTTTACAAATACATATAAATATATATATATATATATGAATATATATATATATAATCACACTGTATGAACTGTGATGCTTATTATCAGATTCCCAGTCCTTTTTGATGCTGGCCAAGCATCAGGGACATCTTGCGACAAAGAGCTCTTGAAACTGATCGAAAAAAGTCTGTTTGCTGCCTACCAAAGCACTTCAAACTCTGCTTTGCACTGTGAGGCCACATCCAACAGTAGGAAGCATCTGGCTACAAAGCTTCTCTAAAGCTCTCCAGGCACCCTTGCTCACACCGACCTTTACACCCTGGCATCCCTCAGCTGTGCCAGCTGCTCTGCAAACCAAACCAGAACAGTGCCCCAGCTTCAAAAACATCCTGTGTGGTTTAGTTTTGGCGGGAGGGTAAAAGAATACAAGAAAGACAGCTTGCAGGATTTTTCTTTTTTAATCCAATCAGTTCCCCCAATCCATTTCACAGTAAAGGAAGTTTTCTAGAAAGACAAACCGGGTTTACTATAATTAAGTAATCGGTACTTCACACTCACTGTTTATCCTATTAAAACAAAACTAGAAACTATTGTTATTATAGAATGAGCTGTTAATAAAAGCAAAAGCATCAGCCACAGCTGTAGCCCTGGCACTCTCCTAGAGCCAACACATTGCAGGCTGGACGCATCCCTTTCAACACACTCCCATCCCAGTGCTGCCTCACACATCACCAGCCTGACCTTGTAAGCAGGAATTTCTCCATAATCACAGCACTCTGGCAAGCACCACTGCTGCAGCAGTGCTCTGACCTGCTCTGTCACTGCAGCACTGTCATAGCTACCTAGCAGAAAGGAATGTCACCCCCTCTCATAGGCCTGCACCGGGCTCCTGTCCCTGAGCCCCTAGCCTGTCTCCCTGAACTCCCAAGGTAATCACGTGGCAGCAGCACGTTGCAGGCACAGGGCTCACTTAAGTCACGCTCCAGAAAAACAAGGGCAGGCACTTGTGGCAGCTACACTCAGCCATACTAAATTATGCATAGCGAGGTAAGTGCCCTGCACACTGCTTCCAAGACCCCAGAGCTTTGCGAGTTGGCAGCCATGGAGACAGCCTTGGATTTAGCCTTCAGTGCAGACTGCCTGAACCTCTCCCACCACCACAGCACGTGCGGATCCAGGCTCCTCTCAAAGATTCCAGAGCAAGCCGTGAATGCCAGTGCCACATCCCTCCCACTGCAGACAGGTTTTGATTGCCTTAGACTATTACTGTGCATCCAACTAGGATACCCAGGCACTCAGTCTGCCACAGGTTATTCCAACATCCATCACTTGAGCCATAAATCTCAGTTTCAAATGGCTTTGGGGCTGGAGAATTGATTCTGCTACAAAAAGCTCTACCCCAGCTGCGAAAGGCAAGTATGGGCCAGAAGGCAAAGGTGGGATGGAGACAGCAGATCTCACCCAAGAGGCTGGGATTTAGAGAAAGGAGGAGTCCCCTCTTCCAGCCACAATGGGAGTTTGCACAGCTGGGTGGAAAAGGACTGGTTTGTATCTACGGGGGTGGAAATGGGGACAGTCAAAAAAAATACTGCCAGAAGAAAGCTTAGGAACTACCCCACTATAGCCTTACATAAACAAGGAAAGTATTTCTGTGATCTACTAGTTCTGTATTTCCCGTTAAGATAAAGAAAAGGTTTCAGTATAACACACAAAAAAAGCATACATTAGTCAATCATCTTGACAGCTTCCCTTTTACAGACTTCAAGCTATTTTTAAACTGCCATGGGAAATAAGACATTAATTAGAAATGTAATTGGAGAGAGAAATCTATTAAAAAACAAATCAAGAATAACATCACTTTTAGCAAAACAAATTTTGCCCAAGATTGTACAAAACCCTTTTGCAACCAGAAGTGTGAGTTTCTGAACCTACAGCAGTCCCCGGCCCCAGCATACCCATCCATAACAGAGTCATCACTGTGCTTCTAATTGGATCGCTGCTAATGAATCCCAATGTCAAAACTAATAATCTAACTCACAGGGCTTCTAGGTCAATGTCCTCGCATCAAGTTTGTATGTACAGGAAGGGATCAATACACTCTGCCTAGACATTGAACTTCTGAGAGATTACAATATGTTTTAATATTTGTCCTCCACTTACAGAAAAGCCGAAAAGTCGAAATCTCCCACAGAACGAACACTTGATGCTGAGCAAGCATCACAGGGACTACGTGATCATGCGAAAATTCTCATCTGTGTCCAACTGTGAACTGGATCCAGCTTCTCTCAACCTGAGCTGCATGAAGTATGTACAAAGAAGGCTGCTAGAGGCAATGATTAAATGTTCTTGCTTATAATTGGCTAGTCTACAAATGAGCATATGGAGGAAAAAGGGGAGAAAAGTAAAAGTCTCCTTTTATGCCAATGCTTTATTAGGTTGTGCTGGTTTCATGACCTGTGATGATCAGACCTGTACAAACGGCTTTTTTCTTTTCACTTTATGCAATTACGTTGTCCAGATGTCATGAGGAGAGAAGCATAAAACTGTATTTCACTAACAGGGAACTCTTGGACAGTTGCAGAAAACATGAGTTAAATGCACGAAATATTTACAGAAGTTGTAGAGGTGTTGAGTTTATGACATTTTGTGAAAACAACGAGACTGACCATAGTTAACAATTATCCTTTAAATGCATCATAGTTAAAAAGCTTCAGTGCATTTTCCACATTTGAGGTTCAAATGGATAATTTATTCTGTCAATAGGTCAGCTCCATTAGCACATGCTGCTAAATGAGTCCTACCACAGTCCCCGACTGTACAGGAGAACTGTCCCTCAGGGCTAAGGGAAGAGAATGCATTTTCTGTGAATAGCCATTTTTAGAACTGCAAGTACTTTGCTGTGCTTCAGAAGGCCCACAATGCTTCATCCAGGACTCAGAGAAACCTGCACAGAGCATGGCTCTCACAGCTCAAAGGCAAGCAGATGAAAGACAGGCAGAACTCTTGCTCTATCTACCATCAATCCCAGGATCAGCTGATCCAGTCAGAAGCAAAGGGATGAGAACATCAAACCATCCTCCCATCCCATTCCATTCCAAAAGTCGCAGCAGAGATTCAAGCCAAACATGTGACATGCAGATGAACACACCCCCATTAACTTTTGGTTATAATATCCACTGAAACAACAAAAGAAGCATTTTGAAACCAAGGTTTGCTTGCACACCAACGCACATACAGAACTGGGACTTCTCCACACAGTCCCTCAGCTCATTTACAGGCTTATCAAGTCTTCTTCTGATAGAGAAAATATTTTTGCAAAGAACACTAACATTAATGCATAACTAATTTACAGCAACGCAAAGATCCAGAATCTTAAATTTCTATATTTCTTGCCTGCATGCAGCTTGTAAAGGTAAGCAACATTTTTGTGTTTAATTTCCCAGGCCAACAAACCTGACTGATTTCAGGTTTTAAGATGCACCTACACAAACCCCTATACACTGAAACATAATCATGTATTAGTTTTTTTCCCCCCTAGTACAGACCCCTCAAAAATTACACTGCTACACTGCTTTGCTAAATAAAGAAAAAAGAAATAGATGGAATAAAATGGTGTTTTCCATTATTTATTTACTTAACAAACCATTTATTCCATATCTGAAAAAGGGAGTGCAGATTACATGATACCCATTAATCCATCAATGCCATTAAACAAGCCCTGGACCTCAATCAATATTGATAAAGACTGAGTAAGAAGAGAGATACTTGTGCTTTTAGAATCCAATCTCTCTTGACTCATTGGTGCTGACAAGACTGGACTTAATTGTTTACACAAATTTCAATGCTAGTAAATGTTTCCCAGACACCAAATGCAGCAACTTTTGAGTTATTCTGCAATTTTCCAGGTATAAGCCTCGTATCTGCTGTTTTCCTGATGACCTCTATCTCCACCATCACGATTCCTTCTCCGCACCTTTCAATTATTGGTGTTCCTTCAAAGATTTGGTCTGTATAACATGCAAAATCTGATGTTAGGACATTATTACATAGATGTTAGTTTGTCACAGCTACATCACATAAACCTCTATCAAAGCGGAGTCTTACAGCTCCTGCCACTACCCACAGGCAGGTCGAGAACAATTTTTAGGACTGATGTTTGACTAGCAGTGAGGAGGCAAGGGGGCCGAAAACCACTCCCCCACATACACATCAACAGAAAAATGAACAGGGGAGTTTGTTCCTGAGTGACAAAACAAAGTTTACAAGTGAGAATGCAGGTTTTTCACAGTTGCCTAAATTGTAAAGAAGGAACAAAATATGGTTTAATGTTAACCTAAGGCTTCTGAAGTGTTGAACAGTAATCCAAGCAGTCATACACTTCCTGAATTCCAGGAAAACTTGCACTCCATGCACAATCCATGCGGTCAATGTGCAGAGACAACACCAGATCCGTGGAGTTCAATCAGCTTCCAGCACTCCTGCATCACAGAAAGTGATGGATGATCCATATACTGCATGTGATCTTAGGAACCTCAAAACCTGGAGAGCATCTTGACGCACTCCGAGCTCCAGTGTTAAACCCCCAGGGATGACCTAACACCAGCCTAGCATAACAGCAGTGAAGACAGAGAGGACAGCAATGGGCTTATAGTCTTGCCAAAGCTTTAGAGAGTATCATGACCAAATTCCTACCCTTACACTCCTGCGACAAGCCCCTTTGCAGCTTATGGTCTGCCAAATCTTACCTTCCTGAACCTTCAGCATCTCCTGTTGATGAGAGCACTTTTAAATGCAGCTCCTTGCACTTTGTACAGCAAGGCCACCATTACTCTCTTCTAACATATCATTCACAAGTTTTTGCTCACCACTAACTCTGCCTGCTGCTCTCACACATTATCTTCAGTCTGTGCATGACTTATAATAATAATAATAAATATAAAATATAATAAATATGAAGTATAATAAATATAAAAATAATAATATAAATTAAAATAATATATTATAACAATAATATAGAGATTATAATAAACCCTAAATAGACATGTAACAGCTGAAACAGTTATGCTACTTTTAGATTTCATTCATTCATTCTTTATAACCTCACTTGTGTGCTATCTGTTGGAATGGAAACTGCTCAGACTGCATCTTCCTGCACAACTGTAAGGTACAGAGCCCACCAGAGCAAAGGGAAAGGTTTACACCAAGAGCACATGAGCTCTTGGGCCAAGCTGTCAGAATTTCCAAGTGGTTTATGTAGTATACAATGACAAATTCATTCAGAGGATGTATTGATGACAAAAATCCTTATGAATCCTACTTTTCCATAGTATCAAGCAACATCTCTAGCACAGTCCCAGTATATGTATTTCTACTTCCATTCTGCACAGAGTAGTGGAAGTATATGCACTTATATCCTGTGCAATCGAGTTACACCACCAGTGACCTATTTTTCCCCTTTGAAAAACAGGAAAAGAAGCTTCTGAGCACACATACAGCAACAGACTGCCTCCTACTACACCTGCTTTTGTGATGATATAAAAGAAAAAAAAATGCAAGTTACATTTTCACACTTCACCCTAGCTGCCTTTCATTTCTATCTGACCAGTTAAAATAGCGCTCAATCCATCAGCTTCACAAGATCAACAACTTAAACTTCTACTTGTCAAGTCCACCTAGACAAGTGTCACATGCTTCCACTCCCATCTGCTCCGATCACTTTCCCAGCTCAGCTTTTTCATTTCATGGCACCTCCTTTTTGCATACCTGACTGCACTGCCTAGCTCTCATGTCACAAAGTTTCTGTGGGTTTTCCCTTTTCAAGCTCGTCAGCGCCCAACCCACCTAATCCACCATGAAACATTCCACGCCTAAGTGCTCCTGCCACTCAGATCTTCTCAGGTGCCCTCTTTCTGAAGAGAAGTCTTCTTCCCGTAAGCCTGCCCTCCTCCTCCTCCTGGAGCTCCAGCTGGCTGTCTTCCAGGGACCGGAGGCTAGGCTAGATACAGCACAGCTGCATGACCTTGGCTCTGACTTCTGAGCAAACTGCTAAATTCCAAGAAATTCTGCAGAATAGCACACGTAAGATAAGAAAGGTAAAACTGCAGAGAGTTAATGGGACTTTTGAGACATGGATCATTAATAACACAGGCATTCAAGGGGAAAAACTAAAAAAGGAAAAACAAGCATGCAAAGGTATAAAATCCCGGGGTGTGGAACTAGCAACTGAGCAACATCAAGCTGTTCCAAGAAGTAGCAGAGTTGGAGCCTTCCTCTCCTGAAGGATGCCTGCTTGGCTACCTGGGGCCTTGCTGGGGGTGGTAACTCACGTTTAGCTGGTGGCTTGTTAAATCTGCACTGTATGTTTTGGGCATACAATTTAAAGACATTAGAAAAGTTAGTGACAACTACATATCATGCTCGCAGAGCTGCTTTGCACACGGAAGAAAGTGTCTAATATGGCACTGAGGGAGGTTGTGCTGTACTTACTGGAAAACCAGCCTGCTGGCTGTCCTTTTTGCTCCTGTTAATCCCTTTTAAAAATCTACTTGTCATACTTCCTGCAAGAAACAGCTGGTATACTGCAACCATAGCATAGTGCAATGGTCTGAATTATCTTTCTGCCTTTTGTATTCCACCCATCCGCTTGCTTTAAATCAGTTCTCATCATGCATTCATATCATACAGACTCTGGGCAAGAGAAAACTTTCTTACAGTGGCATATACAACAGGGTTTTGACTGAGTTATACAGCAAGCCATTGCTCCCTTGAACATGATAAGCATAATAAATTACCACACTGGTGCCACTGTATAGCTGCTTGCAAGACAGTGATATAAACTGGATAACAATGATTAGCAATAAAAAAAAAATCCCTGCTCACAGCTTTTTCTAAAAAGAGACATCTTTAACCCAATCCATTTCAGCAATCAGCTACCACTGTTGCTCAATAACAGCCATATCAGCAAAGCCAAAAGGTTTAGCAACTGGAGCCTGCTGGAAGGCCTTCCTGAACAGACCTCTGCGAATGGAGCTGCGCCCCAAGGCACTTGCAGTACACGGGGGTATGAGCCATGGCGACAGCGCAGCACACGGGGCTGACAGCTCCTTAGGCCCTTGGCTACCGCAAAGCCGCTCCTGCTTGAGGAAAGATCAGAGAAAGCAGCAAAGCCCCGCCTGGGGACGGCAA